GACTTTTCCTCAAAACCTATATACAAAGTGATCTCTCTATATACAAAGTGATCCATGGGAAGTAAATAACCCAACGTTTCTCTCTGAAAATCATAGTTAAGTTTGGAGCACGGCCACAGCCCCAGAAACACAAGGACTTAATGCATAACCCAGCAGCTTGGAGCAGAAAAGTGAACGGGCTATGTGTTAATCCAGGCCATCATGACTGTCCAGAGGGGAAAGGGTGTTGCCCCATTCGCCCTCTCCTCTCTGGAAAGAAAGATGGCGGCCACATGGGAGCCTTGTGGACAGCAGGTATGAGCCGGGGGTGTGGGGGCGACTAAAACCTCATGGGAAAGGGGGCGTTCTGGTCCATCCTTCACGCCCTAACGAGGTCACCAGTTGCCCCCCGCGAGCGGCTCTCCAGCACGGCCACGGCCCCAGAAGCACAAGGACTTAATGCAGAACCCAGCAGCTTGGAGCAGAAAAGTGAAAGGACTATGCGTTAATCCAGGCCATCACGTCTGCCCGGAGGGGAAAGGGTGTTGGTCCCTTCCACCCTCCTCCCTCTGGAAAGAAAGATGGCGGCCACATGGGAGCCTTGTGGACAGCAGGTATGAGCCGGGGGTGTGGGGGCAACTAAAACCTCATGGGAAGGGGGGCGTTCCGGTCCGTCCTTCACGCCCTACCGAGGTCACCAGTTGCCCCCCGCGAGCGGCTCTCCAGCACGGCCACGGCCCCAGAAGCACAAGGACTTAATGCAGAACCCAGCAGCTTGGAGCAGAAAAGTGAACGGACTATGCGTTAATCCAGGCCATCAGGTCTGTCCGGAGGGGAAAGGGTGTTGCCCCAGTCGCCTTCTCCTCTCTGGAAAGAAAGATGGCGGCCGCATGGGAGCCTTGTGGACAGCAGGTATGAGCCGGGGGACTGGGGGCGACTAAAACCTCATGGGAAGGGGGGCGTTTCGGTCCGCCCTTCACGCCCTACCAAGGCCACCAGTTGCCCCCCAATAGCGACTCTCCAGCACGGCCACGACTCCAGAGCACAGAAACCAATTTCTTAACTATCTGACTTTCAGTAGAAATACTTCCAGGGTCAATAAGTAAAATAGCAGAAATCCAAAACCAACATATAATTCTTGAACCCAGCTGTAGAAAGCAAATCACTTCACAATGCTTTGTCGGCATGTCTGATTCGGGGGGTGGGGGGTAAACTCTAAATAATAGTGGTGAATCTTTTATTGAAACAATGAATCTAATCAAAGCAGATAGAGTGTTAACTAGAATTCATCTGCCCCACAGGGACTGGGAGGGGTGGGGGGTGGGGTTTTATTGGGGTTCTTCATGGTAAAAAATAAGTTTTGGTAAAGGGAAATGTGCTTGGTATTTGCATGACTGAGCCCTAAACCTGAAAGCTTTGTAGCCTTTCCCATGGTGATTCAATGAATAAATAAATAAATTAAAAAATAAATAAATAAAAAATAAAATAAAAAATTAAAAAAAAAACACATGGTCTCTGTCTTTTTCTTTCAATTTCCTTCACCTAACCTAATTATTTTGGGATCAACATGAAGCCAAACTATTCACCTATTTTGTGCTTCTTGTAATTGTCAGTCTCTCCTTTTTAAATGGCCCATTTAAAGGCTCAATCAATTACAATGAGTGTAAATAAAATGAAGACCAGAATCAAAAACAACCAAAAACCTGCTGGAAAATATCTGTCAACCCCTCATTTGATGTAGGATTAATAAAACCTATAAAACACTTGTAAAACTTAACAAGAAAAAGTCAACTTCATCTAAAATGGGGGTATTAAACAGAAATATCCTTAAAGTAGACTTTGAGCAGAGAATTGAATTGAATGGACAAACTCTCCACATCTCTTATCGGAGAAATGTAAATTAAAACAATAATGATATATAACCTCATACCAGTGAAAAGGGCACACATAACAAAGAACCAAAGCATTCTGTGTTGGCATAGATGTGGGGGAAATGCAGTTCTTATTCTCTACTGGTGGCAGTATCAACAGGATAGACCTCTTTGGAAAAATCTTGGATACTGCCCCAAATATGTAAAATTGACCTTCCATCACTTGATCACTTGACATCCCATTACTCATCTATTTGCTAGAGTGGGTGCCAGTAACGTCTCCATTTGTCCCTGTTGCGGGCTAGTGTAGCCCAATGGCATCTACTTGCTCCAGGACGAAGAACTTCAAATCATTCTTGAAGAAGTCTGACTATCTCGTAGGTGGGGGGCCACGTGTTCCTTTGACGGAGTGGAATCTAGTCAGTAACAGCTCTAGGCCAGTGGTAGTCTTCAGATCGCATTATGTGTCCAGCCCATCTGAGTTTTGACGCCTTGGCAAACAAGACTGCATCCCTGATTATCTGAGAACAGATAACTAGATGAAATGTAGTACATCTACACAATGGAATACTATGCAGCCACCAGGAAAAATGAAATCACGAAATTCGCTTATAAATGGATGGACATGAAGATTTCAGGCTGAGTGAAATGAGTCAGAAAGAAATGGATGATATCGAATAATTGCACTCTTCCATTGCATTTCTACTTTTCTAAAGATTATATTAAGTGCTAGGAAACACAGGGACCTTAATGACTAGTCAAGGTTTGGAAGCTTGCTTTCATTGTATGGGGGTGAAGGACAGAGAAGGACCATTAGTTAGATAATACTATTTAACTTATCTCTCCATCTCCCTTTTCCTACTATTCACAGAGAGATGTAAAGTGAATCTCTGAGTTTCACTTGTTCAGGTTTTCACGTGCGCTGGGTGGAAAGAAGTTTCCAGACTTTTAGCCTGTCTGACCAGAAATTAGGACTCAAGGATTTTTTCCCATTTGGAGAAGCCCATGTTCTCTCGTGAACCTCTCTCTTTCTCTCCCCTTGCAATTCTCTAAGCAAATTTCTTTAAATAATACTATTCTGTATCACTGAAAAAGCAGAGTTCAAGTCATATGTGAATAAAATTCTATTAATTTTATCCTATTCATCACTGTCACTGTCACTGTCCTCCCACTGTTCATCGATTTGCTCGAGCGGTCCTAGTAATGTCTCCATTGTGACACTTGTTCCTGTGTTTGGCATATCGAATACATCACGGGTAGCTTGCCAGGCTTTGCCGTGCGGGAGAGATACTCTCGGTATCGAACTCGCGTCAGCCATGTTGACTGCGTGCAAGGCAAACGCCCTACCTGCTGTGCTATCGCTCTAGCCCATCCTATTCATCATATTTACTTATACTTTTTCCACTAATACTACTATGTAATAAAGTCGTTGGCAGCTGTGTTAGACTCAAGCCCGGTTTTTAAATTTTTTCATTAAGTTAGAAAATTTAACATAATTTTTGTTTATATTAAAGTCTTTATTTAAAGACTTAAATCCTCTTTTGACTGCTTTTTCTATTTTTATTTGAGTAAATCATTTATTGTATCCCTGAGTCACTGGAGACTGGGGGAAGCAGGCAGGGGATCTCTGTTCTGGGTCCTGTTGAGTCCAGAGTCCAAGGTCACAAATTTCTGCATTGTCTGGGTTCCATGGGACTTTATTCTTGCGTGAGGCTCAGCTTGAGCGTCCAGAAAGCAGCTTGGAGCTTGGAGGTGGTTGGGCGATAGAGGTCCGGTGACTCAGAGATCACATCCATAAGCCACACCCTGCCGTCACCAGATAATCTCCATAAAGGAGGCTCCCAGAACCTACCACTGGACTTTGTGCCTGGCTGGGGGTGGATGAGAGCCTTTCCCACCCCAAGGGAACCAGCTGCTAAAATCTCAGGGCTGGAGGGAATAGAGACTTTACTGGTGCCTGCTCAAGTAATTCGACAATAAATGGAATGACAGTGATACAATGATTTATTGTATCACTTTTACATAATCTCAGCAAAGAACACTCAGGGTCATGTTTTAAGTTATATACATAATATATATTACATACATATATAAAACAATTTGATTTGCCAATATTTTCTAGGATGCATTCACCTCAGGGATTCCTGAGCACAGAACCAGGAGTAAGTCTTCAGAACTGCCAAGTGTGACTCCAAACCCAAGCAAAAAGGTCAATAAAAAAATATGACTCCTGAGCAAGGCTTCTGAAGTGAAGTCCCAGGATTCAATCCTGTGTTAGAGACCCAAGAGGTTAAAGCCCCTGAGAGCTCAGAGGCTCTTCCTGCAGAGTGGGGGCCGGGCTGTGGGGGAGCCAAGTCCCAAGAGCACTGAGTTGCAGGCTAGAAGGGGTGGAAAGATGGGGGAATGGGGGCAGAGATGCAGCGATGTAGAAATCTTCTAAGAAACTGTATTTCCTTCTTCAAAATAACTAACTAAATTTTGCTTTGTCAAGAAAACTAAAATTAATATAAGTATAGAACACAGAGGCATATAGATATCCCTTTATCATATTGATAAGGCAGCAAAACCTGTATGCAGGGGGTGTTTCTGGAATTCTTAATATATCCAATGGAAACCACCCATGCATTGGGATGGTTTTGTAATCTCATTGTAGTATCCATTGTGCAGTTACAGAATCCCAGAAATAACCTCAAAGCCCAGGTGTGTCCAGATGTATCCAGGCATATAGATGTGGGGGACCCTGAGGGAGCTCTGTGTTCACAGAATCCTGGGACAGGACAGGGTCTAATCTCCTCAAACAAGGATCAGAACCTGGACTTCTTCCCTTCCCTTGAGGATGAACTGGGTGGCTTCCACCAGCCACTTCTCAGGTTGGACCAGGCCTTCAGCTATGAATTCTCCCTCCTCATGAATATGCAAATTACACGAGGGACACTGAGTTAAATACAGATGTGTCTGTGTCCTGACAACCTCACACAGCAGGCACACCCACACCTTCAGAAGCCCCTGAGTGCACGGTCTCCACCATGGACTGGACCTGGAGAATTCTCTTCCTGGTGGCAGTGGCTGCAGGTAAGCTTCCCCATGCCTTGGGCTGAGGGAACGGGGCCAGTCAGGTGGAGTCCACCCACTCCTGTCTGCTGTCCACAGGTGTGAACTCCCAAGTGCAGCTGGTGCAGTCGGGGGCTGAGGTGGGAAAACCTGGGACATCAGTGAAGATCTCCTGCAAGGCGTCCGGATACACCTTCACTGACAACTATATGCACTGGGTGCGGCAGGCACCAGGACAAGGGCTTGAGTGGATGGGTTACATATATCCTTACAATGATGGTACAAGCTACCCACCAAAGTTCCAGGGAAGACTCAAACTCACTGCAGACAAGTCCAAGAACACAGCCTACATGGAACTGAGCAGGCTGAGCACTGAGGACACGGCCGTGTATTACTGTGCGAGAGACACAGTGTGACAACCACATCCTGAGAGTGTCAGAAAACTGAAGGGGAGGCAGCTGCGCCACTTAAGATGTAAGGAACGCTGATCCTCCTGACTTCCTCCTCAGAGAGTCAGGATCTGAGACATAGAATGGGGCTCACAGGGTCAGGCTTCATCTGAGGGAAAAGCTCAGGATCTCTCTCTGTCCTTCAGCAACAGCCAGAGGGAGATGGCTTCTCTCTAAAACTCCTGGTGTCACTCATATTTTTGTCTAGGATTTTGTGTGGAGCACCCCAGATGGTACAGGAATAACTACATGGATGTTTGAGCTGGGGTTATTGCAGGTTCCTGAACTGTAGGTCTACACATTTTGTTTTAAATTCTGTATCTGCAAGAAATCCTTTTCTTGGAGATGAAATCCTGGCAGAGTCTGGCAAACTCCCCGTGACGTACCAAATATGCCAAATACCAGTAACAATGATGGGTCTCATTCTCCTAAAGAGCCTTGAATATAATCTCAGGGCTAGGATGAAAGAGACGTTACTGGGGCCTGCTCGAGGCAATCGACGAATAACAGGATGATGAATGAATGAATGAATGAATGAATGAAATCCTGGTGTTGGTCAGATCCACTTCTGGAGTTTTTGTGCAGCCCTAACCCTTTGTACATCTTCACCCTATTTCTATATTCCTGAGTTGGAATCCTGCCATTGAACAAGAGCCAGTGGAGGAGATGACCCTATATTAAAGGGACAAAAGTCACATTTCTCCTATCACATGCTGGAATGGAAATGGTCAGGGTCAGGATCTGTGAAGTCCTGATGTTGGGGGCATTTCAGCCCAGATCAGAGGAATGTCATAACCAAATGACAGATACAGGTTCTGGGGTGTGCCCAGGAGGGCTTTCAGTAGCATGAACCAGCAGACAGGATCTAGAGAGAGGCCTCAGGGGCTGCTTCCTCCACCCCAGGTCATGCATCCCAGCTGAGTTTACCTCATATCTGATGTCACTAATTGATCAATACATTAATTTTGTGCATATTCATATATATGTCTCCTATTTATGTCCACTGGGAAGTCTCAGACAGCATGACTACATAATGAGCTATCTGTCATGCAGACCAGAGTATTACTGGGAATATTCGTGCTTCTGTAGTTGAGCTATGAGGTTTGATTCTTAGGTTGAAACCAAGATTCATACCCCCACTTTGAAAAATATTACCAAATTTATCAAAATGGTCAATTTACAAAAAATGAGCAAAACCCTTCCTTCCCAACAACAGAGAAAAATGCTCATATCTGAGTGAGAGTATTTTCCTTCACTCCGCTAGAAGAACATTGAACATACATGAATCAGGATAACACTTCAATTCCTGAAGGCACGATAAGCACAATATGGGCTAAAGTTCCAACCGAGGTCAATCCAGAGTACAGAAGCAGGGGCCTGTTAGGGCATGACTCTGGATCTCCGACCGCAAGCAAGCACCAAGCAGGAATGCAATCAGCAAGAAGGTAGCTTATTGAGCTGGCTAGCTAGGGTCAAGCTGTCAGGGAAGACCTCGAGCTTCTTCAAAAGGGATCTTATATAGGCCTTCACTGGCCGTTACAGCAAAGCCCGCACATTTCATAGCCAATAGATTTGTAACAACATATACTTTCTTAACCAATCCATTTAAAAGTATATCACTCCTTAGCCTATAGATTCAAAGATCAGCATTTATGTACATAGCCATTGTGGCTAGTGGGTATCTGGTAACTCAGACATTTGGTTATCACCTGACTCCCTTTGATTCTCAGCTCATGGCCCCTGCATTCTGGTGGAGTTGGATAAGGGAAAAGTTCCTAACTGAGGTAACAGATAAGGAAGGGCCAACAAATGGTTTCAGAATTTACATCCCAATAAGAAAGGGTCAACAAATGGAGACAGAATTTACATCCCAATTAGGAAGAGTCAACAAATGGAGACAGAATTTACATCTCAAGGCTTTACCAGGGAGGGGGCAAGTAAGGAAGAGTTACTAATTAGCAGAGTTTAGCGCTGGAATTTCCCTGGGGTCCCAAGGGACCTTAAAGGGTACGACCTGAAGGCCAGCCTGGATTGTCAGTGTGGTTGAGCAGAAAAGCACATACAGATTCCTGGGAAAGGGCAGTCCATAAGTCAGACCTCTAGATTGTTCTCAATGCACCCTTCCTGCCTCTGCACAGAGCAGGCACCTAGATGGGGCTCCTTGGTGACTGAACTGCTACCTACAGTTTGAAGTGTTAGACTGTTCTCCGTCTCCCACTGCCCTCTGTGTGTAGTGACAACTTCAAATGACACTGGGAATGCCACGTTCTCAAATCATCAACCACTCTCCTAGTGCTACACACTTCCAACTGAATCCAGAAAGTCTAGGACATTGCCCTGAAGACATTTTACTCATAAATTTCACATCCATGAGGAACACCTGGAAAGAGTCATAATGCTGTCTACTCTCTGTGGGTCTTACTGTTCTTACTGAGCTGAAAATCACTCAACTTTCTAAAATATAGAAAAAACTAAAGGATATCATGCTCAGTGAATGACTCAGAAGGAACGGGAGAGATACAGAATGATCTGTTTCATAATAGCACTGTGGCACTGTCATCCTATTGTTCATCACTTTGCTAGAGCAGACACCAGTAATGTCTCCATTATGAAACTTGTTGTTACTGTTTATGGCATATCGAATACACCATGGGTAGATTGCCAGGCTCTGCCATGCGGGCAGGATATTCTAGATAGCTTGCTGGGCTCTCCAAGAGAGACTGGGGAATAGAACCCGGGTTGGCCTCATGATAGGGAAAAACGCCCTACCATTGGAGTGATAGCACAGCTGGTAGGGTGTCTGCCTTGCATGCAGTCGACCCGGCTCGAATCCCAGCATCCCATATGGTCTCCGGAGCACTACCAGGATTAATTCCAGAGTTTAGAAGAGTCAGGAGTAACCACTAAGCAACGCCGGGCGTGACACAAAAAGCAAATAACAAACAAGGTAAAGGTAAAGGCCCTCCCGTTGATCGTGGATATGTTCGAGCAGGCCCAGTAACGTCTCCATTGGAGACTTTGTTGTTACTGTGTTTGGCATATCAAATACTCTCGGTAGCTTGCCGGGCTCTCCGAGAGGGGCGGAGGAATCGAACTCGGGTCGGCCATGTTGGCCGCTTGTAAGGCGAACGACCTGGACTGATAGCACAGCGGTAGGGCATTCGCCTTACAAGCGGCCAATATGGCCGACCCGAGTTCGATTCGTCCGCCCCTCTCGGAGAGCCCAGCAAGCTACCGAGAGTATTCGATATGCCAGACACAGTAACAACAAAGTCTCCAGTGGAGACGTTACTGGGCCCGCTCGAGCAGAAAACAAACAAACAAACAAAAAAAAACCTGGGCTGCTTTGGGGGCCTGAAGCGAACTCTGGCCTGTGTGAGCCCCGGGTTAGGGGCTGAGCTGGGCCACTGAAAAACCCCGCCATGCTGGCCAAGTAGGGCAGGCAGCGGGTGCCTCGGCAATTCTTGGGAGCCCCCCAGATCTCCCCAAATCTGGCTTCTTTTAGTCAGCGTAATTGCATCCAAAGGCCACTCTGGGGCTGAATCTGTTGGCTTTCACGTGCAGAGAAAGCTGTCTCATATTATGGGGCTTAAAGGACCCACAGCAAGGTAGCAACAAGGGCTAAGATCAGCGCAATAGGAGAACTGATCCACAGGGTTGAATGTTTTGGGAGAAGGGGCTTTTATCCTGACTTCAATCTCTGATTCCTCACAGCATCCTATTCCCTGAACTCCAAGACTTCAACCTGTTTCAATCTCCCAGGCCCCACACCCAGTGCCAGGGTCACAGAATGGTTGTCCCAGCTGCACACAGATGGGCCACAGGAAGTGCTCCCTGGTGATTAGAGGTGTGGGGGAGTCTCAGCCTGACCCAGGTCTAACCATCTTTCTGTGTCCAGGGACAGACAGGAACCTCAGTTCCCCTCACTCAGTCCCTGGAGGAGACTTTCAGTTTACTGTTCTGGGGAGGCCCAAGGCACACAGACTCCTGTGTTCAACATCTCCTTCAGGGACCCTCAGGTCACATTCTAAATGACAGAAAGAAAGGAAATGTTTTGGCTGACACTGAGGGCATGTTTTCTGGCCTTTCTAGTGTCTCAGTAAAATCCTCTCCTCTCAAAGGTGTTGAGTTTAAAAATCCCAGATAGTTTCTTCCATGCCCTGTCTTCCCTGATGAGGTTTCAGCATTAAGTGAGAAGCATCACCGTGGAACTGTGGAAATATCCCCCTTGCAGCAGCCATTGATAAAATACTTGGACCCACGTCTCCCTGAATGCTGTTACCTCCTAACTACAGGGACTCTGGGAATAAGGAGATGGTCAGTCTGTCTGAGCAGTAGCTGCTCAAAGATTTATGAGTGCAGCATGGTCGAGACATAGCCACCCACATGGGCCCTAGACCCTTAGTCATATGACAGTTTATTAGGGGAGCAATGGTCCATAGGGGCAGAGGGAGAATGCCTGTGAGCACTATGGAGCAGATGGCAGAGAGAAGCAGGGAATTGTTATGACTGGAAGAAGCTAGAGCGCTGGCCTTGATGCTCTAAGACAGAGGCAAGGTTGAAGCATTGCTGAAAACAGAGCTGCCTCTTTCACAAATCTCAAGCCATTGGGCACCAGTAAATCAAGGCCAAATAATCTACGCTATACTTAGAAATTTCAGAGAAGTTGGGGCCTGGGGAACTCTCTACAGGTCGAGTTCTCTAGTGGCCAAAGGGCTGTGCCAGGGAGAACTTCAAACCTCCAGGAAACTAATGGGACACTGTTCCCTTAATAAGGAGCCTAATGTTGGAGTTGTCCCCTGAGTATTCTGGGACTATCTAAAGGGATTCTAAAGCAGGTAAGATTAGAAAACTCTCAGGGCTGTGCTCCAGGCAAGAACAGAGTAGGAAATTACCACCAGTGTCATGCTTTAAATGTAATAGCTGGTTGTGTTATCACCCTAAAGCCACAGCTGTGTGAATATCCCAGTCCTGCTCTTAAGCTATCTAACTCTTCCACGTGTTAAAGGAAACAATGGTTCATGTGTCTGGAGCCAAGGCACTGGGGAAATGGATCAGATTTTGTGTTCAACAAATGGCCTAACTGGGGGCAGAGAGATGGTACAGTGGGAAGGGCCTTGCCTTTCAATTTGGCTTGATCAATCTGGATATCATTTGCCACCCCTCATTCTCTTTCCCCGAACACACACACAAACCCTGAGCCCCACAACGGTGATTCTCTAAGCACAGAGTCAGGAAGAACCCCTGATCACCACCAAGTGTGGTCCACCTTCTCCCCCTTCATCACTGTATCACTGTTTCACTGTCATCCTGTTGTTCATCGATTTCCTCAAGCACGAAGCAGTAATGTTTCCTTCGTCCTAGCCCTGAGATGAAGCTCTTTCAGGGTCAGGAGTATGAGACCCATCATTATTACTGGTTTTTGGCATATTCAATATGCCACAGGGAGTTTTCCAGACTCTGCCATGCGAGCGGGATACTTTCAGTAGCCTGCCAGGTTCTCCAGAGTAAGAACTTTATAATAAGATGTCGCGCTCCTGTTTCCGGGAGATGAATTTTATAGTCTATAGGTCTTGGCCATTGATGAGATTACACGGCACTGGGGGCAGTTGGTGAGTGTAATGCCTACATGCTGGAAGATGGGCAATCTGGGTGGAGGAGGCCCAGTCCTGATCCGAGTAGGCTTGGAGATCTAAGCCCCGGGTCCTGCACACCTGGGTTCCTCTGCCACAGCCATGCTTAAGATCTCCCCCTACATGTTTTTGAAAAAAATCAATTAAAAAACTTTTCAGGCTATTTCCTTGGTCAAGGCTGTTGAGGATAACTTGCGGACAGGACATGCTAAAGAGCCTGTCTAACCTTTTAAGACTAACCATGAGGGACAGAGGACAAAGTCACCAAAGTCTTTGACTTTATAGTAGTTAGTTAAAACAGAATCTGTGTTGTCCCATTTCTACTTTGAGTTTGGCGACATTACTTCAGTTCTCTGTTAAGTGAGAGATACTTGTTCCTTAGCTTCTCCCTAATTTTCTTCTGTTATGCTTTTTCCGTATGTAACCCAACAACGGCCAAGGTCCAGAGATTATCACACTCAGCTCCCAGGAGAGAACAAGGCAGAGTCTCCTACCTGTGCCTGACTGTCTCCACCAGGGCCCAACAGCTGAAGACCTTCGGGCCCCAGTCAAGGTCATGCTGGGACCACTCTCCACACACTTGGATGAGCCTCACGCATAAAAGAACTGGCAGAGGAACCCAGGTCTGTGGGACCCGGGGCTGAGATCTCCAAGCCTGCACGGTTTGGGACTGGACCTGCCAGTAGCTAGACAGTTACACCCACCAACTGCCGTGTAACCCCAACAATGGCCAGGATCCAGAGATTATCACACTCAGCTCCCGGAAGCGTGCGGCCACATTTGCGGCCGTGCGACATCTTATCATCTCATTCCTACTTTGGACAAACTGGCAGGCTACCGAATGTAACCTGCCCACATGGCAGAGTCTGGCAAACTCCCCGTGGTATACCCAATATGCCAAATACCAGTAACAATGATGAGTCTCATTCTTCTAACCCTGAAAGAGCCTTGAATATGGCACTTTTTAAAAAAATCTCAGGTCTAGGACGAAGGAGATGTTACTGGGGCCTGCTCGAGGCAATCGACAAACAACAGGCTGGTCGTGATCGTGATCGTGATGCTTTTTCCATAATGCTATCAAAATACCTTCACCTCTCCAAATCTACAGAGTGAGACTGAGTGTCTTTATAACAGCCAGGCACTGAGCAAATTCCAGGTGCACATCCATGTGTGGAGAAACAAGCTCAATATGTTGATACAGTGGATCACTCCTCAGCAATGAATCAGTGTCTATCTGACCCGTCTAACCTGTATGCATGGTCTGGCAGCATGTGGGAGGCTGGGTAGGGTGGGAAAGAGGAATTACTAGGACAACAGAAAACACCTGGGGTGGGTGATCAGTACACTGTTCTGTGGCAAGTGTTGCATAGAGCCAGTACTGTAAACAAGATCTATGTGCAGACTTTTTGGCATTTCTAACAAATTTTTAAGCAGTTTTTAAGAAAGTGTCCTGTTGATTTTGGTGCAGCAGCTTTAGGAAATAATCTCAACATTCCCCAGGCACCCCAGCATCCTTGCTGAGGTCTGGGGGTCCAGGTCCCCTGGAAATGCTGACTGTGGAGATACAGAGACAGCACAGGTGGGTCAGGTCTGTGAAAATTCACTGTCTAAGCCCTGCAGGAGCTCTGGGACAGGACACCTGGGGACAGACACTGTGGGTCACGTGTTTATACACAAGAGTGGTTATGAATTCTATAGCCACCTGGTCCCTGAGGTGTGACATCATCCATCTCAATCCTCACTTTGCCTGTGTTGGTGTTTGTGTGTCTTTATGTCTATCTTAGCAGAATTTTGTAGAGCCTAATGAGTGTGTAGATTGCTTCTGATACTTAATGCTGACATTTTTTGTTTTTTGTCATATTAATTTATTGAATCACTGGGAAAAGTTACAAAGTTTTCAGGGTTAAGTCTTGGTCATACAATGATCAAACACCCTTCCCTTCACCAGTACTTATTTTTCACCAAGAACCCCAATGTACCCCCTTCCCACCCTTCCCTATGCCTGTGAGGCATATGATTTCTTTTAACTCTCTCTCTCTCTACTTTGATTACATTCATTATTTCGAAAGATGCACCATTATTGTTTAGATTTCCTCCCCAACAATAAGAACTACTGAAAAGGCATTGTGAAATAATTTGCTTTCTATAGCTGGTTATGAGAATCACATGATGATTTTGGATTTCTGATATTTTACTAATTAAGTCTGGAAGGATTTCTGCCAACAGCCAGATTCTTAAGAGATTGGTTTCTGTGCATCTGGTACTATGGCGATGCTGGAGAGCCACTCGTGGGGGCAACTCATGATCTCGGTAGGGCATGAAGGCCAAGCCGGTACTGCTCCCCATCCCATGAGGCTGCAGTTTCCCAGTGCCTGCTGGCTCATACCTGGTTTTCCAATAAGCTCTGAGGCGGAGGGGAGGCAGAAGGGACAGACACCCTTTCCCTCCCAGAAAGGCATGGCGCTATAGTTTAACACATAGTCCATTCACTTTTCTGCCGCAAGCTGCCGGGCTCTGGATTAAGTCATTGTGTCTCTGGAGCCATGGTCGCGCTGGAGAGCTGCTCATGGGGGACAACTCGTGACCTCGGTAGAGTGTGAAGGACGAACGGGTCAATGCTAACTTTTTAAACATCAAATTTTAGAGCATATTTTCTGGCCCCTTAGATTGAATTCAAACCTCTGGTCCTTCATGGAAGTAGGGGGCCCACGTATGTGACACAGCCTATGTCTAGGTTCCGTGCATTTGGGAGGGTGTGGCGGGTCATGCCTGGCGCTGCTCAGGGCCAGCACACTTGTACACTTATAGAATATGTGAGTCTGAGCACTAAGACCCGGTTCCAGGCCCAATAGATTGTGTGCTGAAGGTCCTCCACTAGCTCTTTCTATGCTCCTGACAGGGTCAGGATTCCTCAGTGATGACCCAGTGCAAGGTCCTGAGGTTCATGCTGGTCTATGGACACTGAGTTATAGACAGGACAGAGTAGCATCAGGTGCTGTTACCTAGAAAACCACACCAGGCAGGTCACTGTGCAGAGGCTCTTTTTGTCCAGCTATAAACCCATCATCAGGTAGCATACACGTTCTAACAAATACCCTGAATAAATAGTTACAGGTAAATATGCCCAGGAAAAGGAATTTTAATCCAAGATAAGTGTGAGAAGAAATGACTGTAATATTTGAATGACTTTGGGTTGAATTAAGCTCTGTCAGAATTCACTGCAACAAACCTGGCTACCACCATATTTCTACAACAAACATTGCAAAGTCGGATAGAGAACAGGAGCCACCACTGAGGAGCACAGAGAGGCAGGGGACTGTTTACAGAACATCTGGATTTGGTAATCAGGGACCTAAGACACGGGGACTCTCCTCCCCAGCTGCCGTTTCCCTTTCAGCAATTCCTATTTCCTGAGAGTTCCTCAGTACGTTTCCTGTGCTGCAGGAAAAGGCCCAGCTCTGAGAGGGCCCCAGGTACAGGCCTGAGTGCTCTGAACCACACTCAGCACCTCCTCCCAGGGAGCACACACACCAGCCTCCCCTGGATCCCCTCCTTTCTCTACAGAGGCTCCCCCATGCAAATCTATACTCGGGACTCAGGATTAAAACCACATTCACACTCACCCCAACTCGGCCTCCCTCTCCCCCTGACATGGTGTCTGAGATTATGGACCTAGTGGACAGGAACGTGCATCAGTGCTGGTTCCTCCGCTTTCTGGTGGCAGTTCCCGAATGTGAGTGTCCCCTGGACACAGGCTCCAATATGGGTATGGGGCCTCTGAGCCCGTGACTCACTGTGGGTCTCTGACCCCAGGTGTCCTGCCCCAGGTACAGCTTCAGGAGTTAGGACCAAGTCTAGTGTGACACCCTCCCAGACGCTGTCCCTCATCTGCTCTGTCTCTGGATTCTCTATAACCAGCTATAGCGTGAGCTGTATCTGCCAGGCCCCTGCAAAGGGGCTGGATTGGATTGGTTGTATATGGGGTGATGGAAGCAATAACTATTACCCAAAGCTTAAGTCCCTACTCAGCATCACTAGTGACACCTCCAAGAACCAAGTTTACCTAAAACTGAGCAACTCAGTAATGGAGGACAAAGGCATGTATTATTGTGCAGGAGACACACTGAGGGAAACCCACATCTGGCTCTCAGTATTGCAAGAAAATGGCTCGTCTTCAGGATTGATCTCAGAGAGGCCAGAGAATCACCTGCACTTGAGCTTTCCAGCTCAAAGCCTGAGGCCTGCCGTCACCTATGAAGCTGTGCAACAGCCCCAAACTTCACAGGGATGCCCTGGAGAAATGCGGGAATTAGATGGGAATATTGAGTGGAAACCCACTGGGCTCATGAGTGAAACACTACCACAGAAAGTCAAAGTGCTCCTTAAAGCTCAGGAACTCCTCAGGCTGGGATTGTAGCAACACCATTAGGATACAGTTGCTGTAACAAACAGTGTAAAGTCAATGAATTAGTGCCTGCTCAGGGAGCCGTCTTGGGCAGTGGGGTTTTTGGTGGAGGGAAGAGCACGTGGGTGTTGGGACTGGTGTTGGCATGCTGAATACCTGAAACAGCTTTCTAAATCACAGTGTTTAAAGTAAGAAAGGAGACAGACAGACAGACAGAGAGGACAGCGTTTCCAACAATGACCAAGTATGAACAGATCAGTTCAGACTGAGCTCGTGCCTGGTCTGCAGTGAAGAGGGGATTTGGGGAAAAGTGTCTGTCACACTCCCTTCAGTCATCTCCAGAAATCCACTCCTCCCGGGACATTTGTTCTACTTCAGTGTCATTTGATGTTAAATGGCAGAGGCACCTGAGGAGCAAAAGAACCGACCATAGCCTTGGTGGAGGGTGACAAGTATGGGAACAGCAGGACCCTTGAGCAGGGACAGCCAAGCTCTGATAGAGATAAAAGATATGCAGATACAAACAGAAGCAGAATGACTTCAGTGGAAACATTGAGACAGGGCAGTTGTGGAAAATTTTTGAAAGTTAGAAAAACCACAGATTCCATGAATATTTTAAAAGAAGTATATGAATAGTTTAAATATAATCTATAATAAATTTCTACCCCTTGAGAATGCACGGTAGATCCCGTCTCCAAAATGCAAAAGTCAGAGCCAGAGTGATAGTACAATTTGTAGAGTGCTTTTCTTGCCCTCGCCAATGGGGGTCATCCTCAACATCCCAAATGGTCCCCCTGACCACTACCAGGAGTAATTCTTTCTTCTTAATTTAATTTTATTTTTATAAAGGTAGTGATGTGTGGGGACCGCGTGGGGATTGCCCTGGTTCCCAGGCAACCTCTGATTCTGGAAGTCATGCCCACAACCCACCCCAAGCGCCATCTTACAGCACACAGAAGAGAATAAAACTGGCTGGTGGGCTCCACAACTCCAGGAGAATCCTCCAAGCCCCATACTAAGCCGATATCACCGAGAGGTCCCAGATGGGGTAGGTGTTGTCTCCCCGCCTACACCCGATGGAATCCCGGTGACCATGAGCTTCTATAAGCATGGCTCTGGTATGCGGGAACGAGGACTATTTTCTGATATTTCTTGATCTGCAAAGTGATAAATGGAAAGTAAATGATCTAGCGTTTGTCCCTGAAAAACAGGTTTGAATGGTGATGGGAAAAATCTGAGCAAAATATAATGCCTAACCAAAATGCATCTTGACTGTGCATTTAACTATGGTGCTATGCTTCTGGGAGGGAAGGGTGTCTGTCCCTCCACCTGACCCCCTTGCGGTGACAACACGGTGACCTGCATCTTTTAGAGCCTAATGAACAGCCAGGTATGAAACTGCATTGAAGAGGCATGTGAGGTCTCGTGAGATGAAGGGTGGAGTTGGCCCTGCTCCTCGCCATGACAATGCTCTAGGTTGCCACCCTCAAACGCCTCCTTCGGCTTCTGAACGACCATGATCCCAGAGGCACACAAACCAGTCTTGGAACCCAGGGGCTTTTGGCAGTAATCTCTCTAGTTTTATTACTAAAATATCAAAAATCCAAATTTGCGTGGCCACTATTGTGGTCACACTACATTATATACTCTTTATAATTAGCAATAGAAAACAAATTATCTAATGATATCTTTTTGGCAAGTCTGAATGTTGGGGAAAATTCCAAATAATAATGTTGGGTCTTTTGTCGTAATATTGAATATGATCAATGTAGAGAGAGAGAGTAAAGTGGAAATCTGCCACACAAGCAGGGGGTGGGTGTTGGAGTACACGAAGCTTAGGTTTGTCAGGTTGCACCCATCACAGTGCTTCCGAGTCATTACCATTACTACATTTGCCCGTAACCACTTCTATGCTCTCTTCCTCAACCGATTTGTAAGGTCTCATCCTTCTAGGACACTGAACTTGTACTGTAAGTTAATATTGCCTTTCTCCTCTCCTTATGTCTTTTGAATAGTTTAATGTAATGTCCTTTTTGTATAGATACAGAAATATAACTAATATTATGCTTTATAACTTAGGATTTAATTGGCCTTCAATATTATTCACTCCTGGGCATCTGCCTTCTCAACTTAAGCCTCAGTTGCCCTCACTTCCTAGCACTCCAAGGGCAGGGTCCTGACGAGGGACTGGATGGAACCAGGGCAAGCCAGTAAGTTTGTGATACCCTGGCATTGAGATGGGCCAGGTCAAGGTGCCACGATTCTTAACTATAGGTTAAGAGTTTGATCATAGAAAAATGCTGTCATGATTCAAAAGTACAGATAAGACTAGGACCCTGCTGCTAGGAATAGGAAAGATATCTGGCCTGAGCACTGCAGTCTGAGATCGAGATGGCACTAGGGTAGCAATTCTATAAGTGTAAAGTATTTCTTACTGTGTCCATACAAAATGATTTACATTATGTATGCTTATATGTTTATTGGACAAGGAGAGGAGAAACACACAGGGAATTCTGTTCTAGGGTGAGTAGATCTGCTAAGTAAGAGTCTGCCCTAGAAACTTTTCCGTGTGTCCTGACTAGCTTGGATGAGACTGAACTTTTTGGTTGGGAAAGAGAGCATAGAAGTGGTTACAGACAAATGTAGTAATGGTAATGACTTGGGAGCACTGTTATGGGTGCAACCTGACAAATCTAAGCTCCGTGTACTCCAACAGGAGGGTAGGAGGGGGGGTATACTGGGGTTCTTGGTGGTGGAAAATGTGCACTGGTGAAGGGACGGGTCATTGTATGACCAACCATGAACTGAAAGGATTTGTGACTGTTCTCACGGTGATTCAATTAAAAAAAAACAAAACTTGGTGATGTGCTCTAGTAAGTGAGTCTAGCAATAATTCGCTATGCGGGTCCTGGCCTGACCGTCGTAAATGGCGAAGAAGGAGCAGTCTTCCAAGCCCTGGTAGATGCCCCCGACTGCCGTGTGCGCACCTTCCATCTCAATCTGCAGCCATGCATGCTGCTGAGGCCATAGCACAGGCCCTTGCCAGCACCATGCGCATTGTGCTTCTCCTTTTTGGCTTTGTCCAAGAATGCACCATGCTTACTAGCGACCTGTGCACACGGGTGAGGAGCAAGGGGAGTCTGCTGCCGCCTACTGAGCCAGGCCCCTCCTGTGCGCCACCACCATGTCTCCCTGGAGCATCCTCCACCCTGCCACCGCACGATGCCCCGCTCTGCCCTGTGAGGTATTGGATATGCCAAACACAGTAACAAGTCTCACAATGGGGACGTTACTGGGCCCGCTGGAGCAAATTGATGAACAATGGGAGGACAGTGCAGTGCTTTTATAAAGTTGTTCAAAACATTTGATTACATTTAATATATAATTAAATTACATTTAATATTCGAACAGCACGATTCCCACCACATGTGCTTTGAACAGCATATTCCTACCACCATTTCACCTTCCCACTGCCATATTTTCCATCCAAAATCCCAAAACCTGCCATCAAAGCAAAACAAAATAATTTATTTTGTATTGCTTGTTATTAATAGTCCACTAAAAATGAAAGAAAAAGATTTCTTAGAAGAAAGTGTGGGAAGATTGTTGTAGTTCACCCAGGAGACACTAAACCCTTCTATAATAGATTAGTAACAAGTTGCTAAAGATTAGGCCTTGTATGATTTTATATACATCTGTATAAATATACTTCCCACTGAGATGGTTGCCTTCTACTTATACCACATCAAATGTGGTATGCTACTCTTGGTACATTGTGTTGTAAAGTGTGTGATGTCCAAGAATACATTCACTCCTAACTGAGGAATGTCCAAGCATGTAGAAAGTGGCTGTGAGTAGGGCGGCAGTTGAGTTCTGGAGGTTTTTGGCTTTTGGGGCTGGCTTGGTTGGGGTAGGACGGGCCTCACCCAAACTCCTGGGTTGCTTCAAATAAAACAGCCACTGTCAGGAGTAATTCTTGAGTGCAAAGCTATGAGTTACCACCAAGCATCACTGACTGTGGCACAAAAATAAATAAATAAAACACAAAGAGAATTTTCTATTAACTAGGGACTTTGTAAACAGTTATTAGATATAACTATGTCATAATTCTTTATGGAAAGAAATAAGTACTGGGAAGAGCAATTTCATTTGGGTATTTTCATTGAGGTTTCTCGGGAGTTCAAGATGCAGCTCTGTCTAACGTTCATTGATTTAAAAAGGGCCTTTGATTCTGTTGAGACAGAAGCGGTCATTGAAGTATTAGCCAATCAGGGCATTCAAGCTCAATACATCAAGATCCTCCGTGAGCTGTATTGCAGATTCACTACCAGGATCTCACCATTCTACAAAGTAGTAATCATCAATGTCAAGAGAGGGGTTCGGCAGGGTGATACCATTTCACCGAAATTCTTCAGTGCCACCCTCGAGAACATCATGTGACAACTGGAATAGGAAGACATGGGAGTGAAGATAGATGGTCGGCAACTACACCACTTCTGCTTTGCTGATGACATTGGTTTAATATCACCAAACATCAGCCAAGCGGCACAAATGTTGGCCGACTTTGACCGTGAGTGTGGAAAGGTCGGTCTACAGCTGAATCTTACGAAGACAATGTTTATGAGAAACAGTCTCGTTCCTGATGCCCCATTTGCTCACAATGGAACGACTATCTCTGAATGCAACAGCTACGTGTACCTAGGTCGAGAAGTTAACGTGACAAATGACCTGGCACCCAAGCTGCGCAGGAGGAAGAGAGCGGCTTAGAATGCCTTCAAGAGTGTCGAAGAAATATCTAAGAGGACGAAGAACCTCCTGCTCTGGGCACAACTCTTTGATTCCACTGTTCTTCCTGCACTAACATATACCTCAGAGACCTGGGCCCTACGCAAACAGGATGAGAATGCTATTTGGGTCTCCCAAAGAAGAATTGAAAGATATATGCTTGGAATATCACGTTTCACTAAAATGAGAGAAAGAATCCGGAGTTCCGACATCTGTCGATGATCAAGAATCAGGGACGCTGTCTCATTTGCCAAGGTGTTAAAAATCAGATGGGCTGGTCATGTAATGAGATTTAAAGACGACCGCTGGACTAGAGCTGTTACCAAATGGATTCCTCGGGATGTCAAAAGACTGCGTGGCCGCCCACCTACCAGATGGTCAGACTTCTTAGTCAAGATCCTGAACGATAGGTTTGAGGCTTTTCATGTTCCTAGAGCGAACAGATGCCATTGGGCTACACTAGCACGCGACAGGGACAAATGGAGACGTTACTGGCGCCCGCTCAAGCAAATCAACGATTAACGGGAAGTCAAGTGATCATTTTCATTTGGGTATTATTTTTAGAGACACAGATATGAAATAAATTTAAATATAATTATGATTATAAGCATTCTAAATGGTGGTTATATTAAAAAGTTTTTTGAACCGTAAACAATGCAATTTATTTTCATTAGCAACTTGAAATTGAAATAATTGTGATCATTTTAACTTGTCTAAGACAGATTATTAAAACAAGTGAGGACACTCCTATGAGCTGTTCCAATGTGCTTCTTCGGCAAGTGCTCAATCCACCAGACAGCGTGTGTGAGATCAGTGTCCCACTGGGAAAAGGAGGTTCAAGGTAAGAAAGTTTCCCCATATAACAGACTGGGGCACCTCATGCAAATCCCTCTCAGGCTCTGGGGTCAAATGCTCTCTGGACTGTGGAGCTCACAAACTCAAACAGGGTTGAGTCTCTGGGGAGGGCAGAGCTATGGTCGAGAAGATGATTCTGTGGGGTCTTCTCTTCTGCCTGGTGACAGCCCCCCTGGCTGATTGTCCCAGATGTGACAGGGTCTAGGGGAGGGAGTGACTGCAGGGACTGACTGCCTTTGTCCCCAGGTGCTGTGTCTGCTCTGACCATGCAGGAGCTGAGCACAGGCGTGGTGGCCTCCTCCCAGACCCTCTCCCTCACCTGCTCTGTCTCTGGGGGCTCTGTCACCAGCAGTTACCCCTGGTATTGGATCCACCAGCACCCTGGGAAAGGGTTGGAATGGATGGGGTACTGGTCATGTGGTACCAGCTACAACCAAGCATTCCAGGGCCACATCTCCATCACGACTGACAGCTCCAAGAACCAGTTAACTTAGCCTAAAAAAAGACCAACATTAAACAGAAAATAGCAGTGTAGGTAATAAGCTAAAATATTCATTATTAGATGTGAATGAGTAGCTCACATAGTAATAGAGAATTGTTCCCATAGTAAACAGTGAACATAGCAGCAGGATTCCCATGAGCCATAATTTCTCACCTTATTTTGCTCCATTCCTATTGTGAGTTCACAAAGCATGTGGGTACTGCTCAACGTGTGCATTTGGTGGCCAAGAGCTGCCTCCTTTCCTCCCCAGGCCTCCCCAACAGAGAGACATAGAGATGTGGAACCATGGGCCCATTTAATCCAGAGCTGTTAGCATACTTGTAGAACTTCTGACGGGGTCAGAGGTATAGGACTGCATGCCCATGTGATTTACAGCGGTAAAACATTCCAACTGAGACCATTCTCTGGGGGAGATAAACTCAATGAGACGCTCTGTCTCCAAGGAATAGCAGTATTACTTCTCTTTTTCCCTCTAGCCATATATATCAAATAATTAGTCCTACAATTAACTCTTCTTCTTACCAATACTTGCAGTCATTCGAATAAACACAGTAAGAGATAAAGATCCCAAAACTTAGTTCTCTAGGCTCTGAGGGCAAGCGAGACTTTTACTGTAAATTCCAGACTGAGTCCTCAGATCATTCCAGCTTGTCCTTCCCCATGGGGATCCTGTCTCTTAAATAATAACAGCTTGCATCAAGACCATGCATTTATGCTTTCTAGACTGTCCCATTTTGATGCCTGGGTAGCTTTGCCACTTGCCCGAGGTCCATCCCAGTCCCATGATGGGACCTCATTTTTGGGGTGTCGGGAGCTACAGAACTGAAGTATGAGTCAAGTAATTATGCACTGTAGCACTGTAGCACTGTCCTCCCATTGTTCATCTATTTGCTCGAGCCGGCCCAGTAACATCTCCATCGTGAAACTTGTTGTTACAGTTTGGCATATCGAATATGTCATGGGTAGCTTGCCAGGCTTTGCCGTACAGGCGAGATACTCTCGGTAGCTTGCTACTTAAAATTAATTAACTAAAATAAATCGGTAAAGGCGAAGGAGCCATGGTGATCATATATCCTTCATGAGAGGGCCCAGGGCATGCACTGAAAGTGCAGAGGTTACTTCCTGATAACATTGCACACTTGATTGCAGGATCCCTGTGGCCCAAAACAGCCCTTATGCACTACCCCCACTGTCACCAGGCTCTGCACTCTCTTACAGCTTCCTGTGGGACCCCCAGAACGTACTGGAGTTGGGGGGATGTAAAAGTCATAAAGCTCTACCAAATGCTATTGAACCCCAAGCAAGTGAGGAATTGACCCCCCTACCCTCACAGGGATGGAGGCTAGTACATTGAGGGGACATTTGCCATGTCTGCTGCTGACCAGGATTGAAGCCAGCATACCCTAGGATCCCCTGAGCACCTCCAGGAGAGATCCCTGAGTGCAGAGCAAGGAATTAGCCCTGAACAAAAGTTGTTTTGAAAACAAGAAAGAAAAAATCACCTCCCACAGATACCTTTGGTAAGGGAAAATGGCCCTTTAGTCCTGCCTGTAATTATTCCAAGAAATGAAAGACCAGCAACAGGCTGGTCTGAGGACATTACCCAGATGATTTCCTGCCCCCACAGGTGACTGTCCTTGCAAAGGAGCTCACCGTGAGGTGTTCGCACATGCCCATTGGCCTGGCAGAGAAACTGAGGCAATGTCTGGCTCTTGACACTTTCTCTTCAGTTGTGAGCCTGAGCAATAGGTGAGCCAGGAGGCTGCTGGCCTGGCGACCTGACACCCAATGGGGTCCCTGAGCCCCGAACAGGGATCCTGACAGACAGCCCGAATTCCAACCTGCTATGCATTTCCAGGAGAGGAAGGAGCATCTGGTAGTGTCTCCCAAGGTGGGCCCGTGACTTGGTGCCAGAGGAAGACTGCCATTAGGACATTTCCAGGTCCAAGTCAGGAACTTTCCAGGTCAGGGTTAGAGGTTTGTCCTTTCTCGGCTCACAGCTCTGACTTTTCCAGGTCTTTGTTTGGAGTCTAATGCTGATCCATTAAATAATGGGCAGGACAATATTGTCCTGAGGCTTGGTCCTGGAGATTGTTAGCAAAAAAAAAATCTTTGTGAATTTTATTACTTTAATAAAAATATAAAGACTTTCTTCTGCATATGCCATCCGTTCAGTCTCTCACTCTCCATCTATCCTGGATCTGGCCACCTCTAGATGTCCTGGTTACCTGATTTAAGTCAAGAAACAAACAAACAAAATATTCCTTCCCAGAAAGAACCTGATCAGGAAAACTTGGAGCATGAACCTTTAAGGCTGTGACTGGCAATGCTGGAACCCAGGTCTTTCCCTCCGACCCTCCACCCACGATGGCTCCGCTTTGCTGGCAGAAGTTCCCGTCAGCCGCCATTGTTGGCAAAGGTGCTCCGTAGAAGGAGCGGGTGTTGGGGTTCCCAGGGGGTCCCGACAGGCCGGTTCCCAGGGTGTCCCGACAGGCTGGTTTCCTCGCTGGCGGCCAAGTGGTCACTCTGAGTGCCCTGAGCCTCAGCGATCTCCACCTTGTGAGCGGCAAGGTTGCTCCGTACTGGGCCGGGGGCAGAGGCCCCTCCCTTGATGCCCCGAGATCCTGCCCAGAGGTTTGTCTGATGCATCAGTTGGTTTTTAGGAAATAAGGGAGGTTTCCTGAAGAAAACTTGTATAGGAAGATGCCTGAGGGTGGGGAGGGGTGCTAGTCTCGCAGGTTGTCACTGGCTTGCACATAGCCACTGGGTTTGATCCCTGCAACCACACAGGTTTCTCCAAGCGCAGAAGGAATGATTGCCCCAAAATCTAAGGAAAGCGGGTGGTCAGAAGCATCGGGTTGGGGCAGTGAAGGTCACTCGAAAAGTTTCAGAGATAATAAAAATAAGGGAACGAACAATAGAAAGTATTTAAATTGTTGCTGTATGTGCTCTAGGGCCACACCCTTTGGTGTCCAGGGCTGCCTCCCTGCTCTGCACTCAAGTAATTCTGACCAACTAATTATGCCTAGGACTACATATATTTCAGAGTCAATCAACTCCCAAATATTAGGAGAATAGCATTAAGGGTGTTTCTGTGTTTAAGCAAAGAACTTTGCTCTATAGTAAAATATGAAAAAACAATAGGGGAAATAGAAAAGCTAGTAATTCATTAATCACTTGCTCACTTAACATATCATTACTCATCGATTTGCTTGAGTGGTGCCAGTCTCCATTTGTCCCTGTCACGTGCTAGTGTAGCCCAATGGTGTCTGCTCGCTCCAGGAACATGAAGAGACTCAAACCATTCATTCAGTATCTTGAGAAAGAAGTGTGACCATCTTGTAGGTGGGCAGCCACATGATCTTTTGACATCCCGTGGAATCCAGTCGGTAATGGCTCTAGTCCAGCAGGCCTCTCCAAATCGCATTACATGTTCAGCCCATCTGATTTTCATTGCCTTGGTAAATGAGACAGCAAACCTGATTCTCAATTGTCAACAGAGGTCAGAATTCTTGATTCTTTCTCTCACTTGAGTGAAGTGTGATACTCCAAGCATAGCTCTTTCAATTCCTCTTTGGAAGACATCGATGGCGTTCTCATGCTGTTTTTCTAGGGCTCAGGTCTCGGAGGCATATGCTAAAGCAGGAAGAATGGTGAAGTTGAAAAGAGCTGGAGGTTCTACGTCCTCTTAGCTATTTCTTCAATGCTCTTGAAGGCGTTCCAACCTGCTCTCTTCCTCCTGCGCAACTCAGGTGCCAGGTCATTCGTCATGTTGAGTTCTTGACCTAGGTACACATAACCGCTGCATTTGGTGATGTTTGTTCCATTGAGAGCGAATGGAACATCAGGAACTAGTCTGTTTCTCATGAACATTTTCTTCGTGAGATGACAATGAAGTCTGACCTTTCCACACTCACGGTCGAAGTCAGCCAGCATTTGTGCTACTTGGTGTTATTAGAACGAGGTCATCAGTGAAGCAGAGGTGGTGCAGTTGCCAACCATCCACTACACTCACATTCCTTCCCATTCCAGTCATTGCATGACGTTCTTGAGGATGGCACTGAAAAGTTTCAGTGAAATGGTATCAGCCTGCCGAACCCCTTTCTTGACGTCAATGATCACTTCCTTGTAGAATGGTGAGATACTGGTAGTGAATCTGTAATACAGCTCACAGAGGATACTGATGTACTGGGTTTGAAGACCCTGTTTGACTAGGGCTTCTGTGACTGCTTCAGTCTCAACAGAATCAAAGGCATTCCTTAAATTGATGCACATTGGATAGAGTGGCATCTTGAACTCCTGAGAAACCTTAATGAGCTCGGTTACTGTGTGGATATGGTCGATAGTGTTGAATCCTTTTCAGAACCCGGCTTGCTCGCATGGTTGTCCTTCATCTAGTGTTCTGCCAATCCTATTCTGGATGTCTCAAGTGAACAGTTTGTAGATGATGGACAACAGGCAGATCAGGTGATAGTTGCCAGTGTCCTGGATGTCTTCCTTCTTGTACAGTAGCATGGCCCTGCTGGTTTTCCACTGGGACAGAATCTTGCATTTAGACAGGTAGCGTGTGAAGAGCCGAGCCAGTGTATTGACGAGTACTGACGGCAGATTCTTCAGTTGTCTGGGATCTGACATTGTCTGGGCCAGGTGCTGTTCACTTCTTTACCAACAAAATGTCATGTTGGATTTCAGAAAGGAGAACGTTGGAAACGATATATCCATCTTGCAGAATTTGGTATGTGGGCAGGTGGATGTGGCTATGGAAGAGATCCGAGTAGAAGTCATAGATAATCTTCTCCATTGACCTTCTGAATATGTGATAGATACATCAGAACGTCGGAGGGCAGTCATCTTGGTCTAGTAGTTGGCAAAGGACAGTCGGACATTGTGAGTGCTTGTCCCAGCTTCTGCCACGTTGGACAGTGTTGCTGCTATTCTCTCTTTGAGGTCATCCTTTATCGATTCTCTGTACTGCTTTGCAAGCTCGGACAT